AAAGGAGGCGACTGATTTCAATTTCATGTTCGTTTGACAAAAGTCGTCCATGTTCAGCATGTCATCTTTCCAGAACGTCTGCATTTGTTTCCCTGGTTAAATTCAAGACCCGGTTGACCGAATGGCATTTTGAATAGAGTACGTATCAGGACATTTTTTATTGATGTGTGTCTTCCTCGCACTTCAACTTCCCCCTAGAATCAATTCAAAAATAATCGTAATGATGTTTGCAACGATGATGACAGGTTTCAGGTACTGGACAGCATGCAGCATGCCTATAATTTGTGTCTTCAATGGCGTTGACGTGTGATCCGTGGATGTTATGTCATCGAGACCATACTTTGCTAAGAATCGTTGCCGATTCAGAACCATAACGGAATTTATCAACAAAAGTCCGACCTTAACATATTAAAGCGCATTCGTTCGGGAAAATAAATGCTGTGAGCATGAACCGCCGAGACAAAATAATGCTAATGCGGAGGATGAAAGTTTGAAAATTTGTGTTACTGTGTATCTTACCTTGAACAAATTATATATTGATACACCCATTGTRTCTGTMTTTTATTTGACTTTCTTCTTATATTGTTGTTCTCTCTTGCTTTCGTCGATCTTGTGGAAGGAATATTGTCCTTACAATGAAGTCTTTCTTGTCACGATCATTGTTTCCGTCAGGGTTTTTGTTTCTCAATTTTTGTGACCTCATGAGTTGGGAAGACCATAACACTAGTACCGTATGTATCCTTCGTATGCTTCATATCATTTATGATTTATGAATGATGTCTAACTTGTATGCGTGACTGACTTTGATCCCGGACTAGAACCGAACATCTCTTGCTGGTCTCTCTCGCTCCTCGGSAAACCCGATGACGCAAAATCAATGATGTGTGTTCTTTCCATGCATCACAAGAAGCTCGCTTTGTATCAAAGCAACAACAGAAGAATCAAACTTTAAACGGGTGTTCTCGATCTGGAGAAGATTGCTAAAAAAGTTGAATACTGCAGGCCGTTTACGTTAAAACAATACGTAACACAACATTCTCTCAGACGAAGCAAAACATTTGGGGCAGCTGCAAATCCTATAACTTCTGTTGTGTTAGAGAAAACAAATTGAGGTTCGGTATCTTGTGACTAAAAAAGAAAGTCTTAGTCTACTATCAAACAATTAAACGAGTAGCAACAGACGGTTTATAAAATGGCTCATTTGCTCTCATTTAAYCTTGTTTTCGGACTTCTTCTTGGAAGTGCATCCGGATTTCAATCCAGTCTAAAACCTACTTTTTCAGTGGTCCCGCGTTCAAGATTCATGGTGGCGACCGCATCCGATGCATCATCTACGGATAGCRATAGCAAAGAGGATAGACCACTGACAATCGAACCGGATTTCAAGGCATACGGAAATGGATACAAGACGGTATTCAAAGAAGTCCCTTATGCCGAATGCGAGGCATCCTTCGGGACGGTCCCAACAGATTTGAAAGGAACATATTTCCGAACGGGTCCAGGTACGAAACAAAAATTATTTGTCAACRATTAGTTCATGATAGGCTTTTGTTGAAGGTTTCGCGAGTGTCTAAGTATGTCGTTAATTTGCCTTTCTGTGCTTGTCATATCTGTGCAGCCATGTTTAGTGCTGGCTCCATTCCACCACCGAAGACTTCCATTATTCAACCAAGAGATGGACCTCCTATCCCGTAAGTACCTAAAAAAGAACCTGAAATGAAAACTGAGTGTCTAGGTTCTCTCTCTTTTACTTTTCCGTTTGGTTCGTAAARAAATTTTGGATTGATTGGTCTCAATCGTATCGTTTACCTGGTTTTTWAAAAACAGTGATGGGCAAAATCCAAATCGAATGACAAAGCACCCTTACGATGCGGATGGTGGTGTCTTGGGCGTGACGTTTTCGGGCGATGGGACTGTAACAACTCGATATCGTTATGTTCGAACKATTGCCTTTACCAGCGAGAGACGCAAGGGGCAGAGASTCTACAAGGGAATGGATTCGACGCGGGAACTTGGTTTCGACATTGCACAAGGTCTGGGAAACGATCTTCATACACCAATGTTTCGCCATCACTTGCAGCCCGGACTCAATAAAAAGAGAAAAAATCTATCCAACAATCGTTCAATTTACTGGGGAAAGAGGTTGCTATCGACGTTTGAGGGATGCCAGCCGTACAAAATGGACAGCTTGGCATTATCCACCGAAGGAAAATCTCAACTMGGCGGTGTACTCGAAGAAAAAGACCCTTTTGGCTCGAAGATGGTGATCGACCCTGTCAAAAACCGAGCGTTGATGTATAGACTGCGTGAAGATGCAAAGTCGTCGCAACTGACAGTGTTTGAGTTCGAAGACAACTTCCGATTAGTTCCTGAAGGGAAACAAGACGAGGAGGGMAAGTCCTCAGTAGACCTGCCCGGGCTTGCTATCCTCTCGGACATGGCCGTCACTGACAATTATTCGTTGTTTGTCCAGCCAATCGTTTCCACCGGCATGCAGTTTCTATTCAACAAGGACCCTGGCACGGCGGTATCCACCGAAAGCAAACCTGCCATGCTTCATTTGGTTCCTCGTGTCGGCACGAACAAGGAACCCATCAGCATRGAAATTCCCTTCGACGGTRCTTTCGAGGCAAATCTACAATTTTGCAACGCGTACGAAGAAGGAAACAAAATCGTGCTGGACGCCATTCGTTCGGATGGATCAAAGAAGCCATCTACTTCTTCAATRCAATGGCCATATGTATCGTCGCGAAAAGACTACGAAGCGAAAGCCGCCAACAAATCGCTCTGGCGGTACGAGGTTGATCTCAGTAGCAGATCGGTTACGAAAACAAAWCTGAGTGATGTGCAGTGCTACTTTGGAACAACAAAACCGAGCCAATCTACGCAGAAACACGACGAAATCTTCATGGCCATTGGTGGCTTGGGCGACGAGACCGCACCTCCACAAGGGATTGCAAGCTTCAAGTGCGATTCTAGATCTATGGATTCCTGGATGCCCGAAGCCTATCAATTCTGTGGGGAGCCTATGTTTGCTCCGAAGGAGGGCGCGTCTTCCGAAGATGACGGCTACCTGCTGACCGTTTTGTTTGACGGCAAAAGCGAGCAGAGCGAACTGCTCATATTTGAATCTTCCGCCATTTCGGCAGGGCCGATTTGCAGAATGCCTCTTGGYATAGGTATACCCCACGGGCTTCATGGTTGCTTCACGGCCGCAGAAGAAGCTACTTGGTCTTTTGAAGAGATCAAACGAAGATCGAAACTGGCCGACAAAATTGAAAGCCAAGGAGATCTTTGGAACGAAGTCAAGAGTGATTTCTCAGGGCTCGGACTTCGATTTGACGATATGGAAGAGTATTTTGGAGACTCGTTCCTATCTTRAGCTACAAGCAATCATATTAATATTACAATCGAATTAATCTAATTGAGCTTTAAAAAAAAGTTGCATAAACCCCATCAATTCTCTATCCTTATATCTAGTATAGTGGAAGTAATATTGTCAGCGTGTCAGCTAACACCCGAGGCCACTGACATGGGCRGCAGCTCCGTCAATCGACAGAAGGTAGCTTCGAAAAAACGAAATCCTTCACGGCTGCTGCTCTGCTGGGGTCGCTCGAGTCGAAGGATCTTGTCAGTTGCAACATGCAGTGAAGGTTGTGGCCAAACAGTAGAATTTCGGCCACCATTTCTTTGGCAACCACCAAATGGTGTATGTAGGCCCTRCTGAAACGAGCGTCCTTGCAGACGAAGCACCCACATCCCGGAACGAGGGGCCTCGGATCGCGTGCATACGACACGTCGGAYAGGTCCATGCATCCATCGTCGTTCAACGCGGCTGTTCCGTTCGCGTGCGCGGCAGCAGCACCACCAGCGATTTGTGGGGCTCCACCTGGCGACGGGTCTGTTGTCTTTTGGCGCTTGGGGTCTGGTTGGTCGAGTGCGGTTTCGTTCGTTTTGACTTGTGTGTCTAGGCTCGYGGTGCTGGTAGCATCCATCGCGACGGGTTCATTGCTCGGTGGTGGTTGTCCGATGGCTGCGAGGTCGAGCCCCAGGGCCAGCTTTTCCTTTGCCCATTTCTGCGGAAGGTTCGTCCCAATCACATTGATCGTCCCCGTGCTGGCGACCTCCAGGATTTCTTTGAGCGAATACGTCGCCAGGATGGCCTTCCACGGTATGGATTCCAGAATCGGATCCGGTATATTGCTGTGCTTAGCGATCAATTCGTGCGGYTGTATACCAGAATGCCATCTCCCGACAAAGGCGAGACCCGATGGATTGTGCTCCACCCCATCGCCGTCCTTSCTCCCCTCGGTTTTTGGGGATGKTCCCACAGGCTTCGTCKTGCTGTTGTGGTTCTGATTGGAMTCGGATGGCTTCTCGGGTTTGTGTCCTTCCTCSTTTTTGTGTGGGAGRAGAACTGGTTTCCACAACAACGAGCTGTAGACACTCGAAGATGCCGCGGAATCATYGTTTGATGCCACTGCTTCGTCCCTGGATGCCGCCGCTAGTGATTGGTTCTTGGAGGCAATGTCCCGAAACCACGCCACGTTCCGCGAGACGGCCTTGTCGCTCCGTCGCCTCGAGAATTCTTCGTCGCCAAAGTCGTCGAAAAGGGACAACGTGTGGTGCGATTGCAGGCCTTCTAGCGCAGCAGTCGCATATAGGCCGGGCGTGAGCTTTTGCTTTCCGTGCGGCGTCCAAACATGGACCGCGTTGTTGGAGGTGCTGGATGTTTTCCCGTTTGCCTCTTGGAGGCCAAAGGACGGAACGGTGAATCGGGTGTACGGGAGCAACCACGGGTCCGGAGACAAAGCCCMAAACGTGTAACCTCGAATCTTTTGTTCTCTGGTGTTGTTCTTGTCGTTCTTGTTTTTGYTGTCTTCKGTGGACTGGTTCTSATCTGTGTTGGTTTTGGTTTTGGTTTTGGTTTTTCGCTGTTTGTTCTCGGCTGCGCTAGCGTAAATCGGTGCAACACACGAGTCCCGCACCGCAAGTCCGAGCCACAGATCTTTGGTTTCCGACGGAGGAAAGTGCTGTTCTAGCTGGGAAGGATTTAGGTATGGAACGCAACCATCCACGCAGTGAAGGAGGAGTTGGATCCTCCCGCTTCCCGCCGTTGCGGCTGCAGCCGATCCAAGAGAGCGCTTCTTTACAACAGATTCTTCCCCCATGGCATTCGTCGTGATCAAAACAATGTTGCTACTTGGTGGTCCTTCTTACTCAGCAAGTTTGGAGGTTCCTGGAGTTCATCGTTTGTTCGATTCGATCGCACGACAACTACTCTCCGTTCGGCCAGGCACGTCTGATTTGATTGATGCAAGTGGAATTTCTTTTCGAAGGTTTGAAATTGATCATCTCGGACCTTTTGTGGTGATTTTTGAAGAAGGATGATGGTTGGTCGATTGGAATTTTGTACATACATTTGATTAATAGGTATTAATCATATGTTATGTATTTAAATTACGTTTCTAGTAAAGTACTGTACCGTACTTTTATCCGTACCGGTACGTACTAGGGGTCGTACTGTACCCTTGCCCTGCCAGGGGTCTAAATTATGACCCCTGTGCCCTGCTCTGTACCGTACGTACGAGTACTTACTCGTACCGTTTACTGGTTGGTTCGGTACGAGTACCGTACCTACGACGAGTCTTCGTACGGTACGGTACTATTTTAGATATTCGATCACAAGGCGAACCCTCGTCCCTGACCCCGGACACAATTGTGGCTGCTTTGGAATTGTCGATTCTCGTCTCTGGTACCGTACGGCATGCATTGTTACGACACAAGTGGATGCTGATGGAACCGAGCAATGCCCTAACCGCCTTTGGCAGGAACTAGACGCACCATAGCACAACCTTCGCTTGCAGCTTCTTTCGTACACCATGTTGCGAACCCGCGACATTTTCGCTTTGATCGCCACGCTCGTCCTCGTTCGACTGGCGTGGAACAATGGGACCGAAAACCTTTCGGCGGGGGTCGATCTGGCGTTCCTCCTTCCGCGCGAGGGAGTGATGGCAMTATCGCCCATGGATCTGGACGGAGATGGAAGCAAAGAGGCGCTGGTAGTGGCCAAAGCCGTAGAAAGGAAAGAAAGCTTTCGGTTGGAGATCCACGATTTGAAACCCCTCCATGGGTTTCGAAAGACCTACCTGGAACCCTTTCGACCGGATGTTATTTTCACATCRGAGGAGATCAACGACGACAATGCGCACCCCATTCACATGACAACGGGGCAGCTTCTGATCAAGAAACACGGGCAGTCGAAGAAGGACGGCGGAAAGCCCAGAAAATTCAACCTCTCCCCTGATCTACAGATCAATGACCAAAACCGGCATTACTTCTGCGGGACCACCTGGGACGATGCCTCCAACAAATGCAAAACCCCGTGCCCGGGCGGACAGGCCAATGAATGTCCCAGYGACGAGCGKTGCTTTGCCGATACTCCCTGCGACATTCTGAACGACGACTTTGACAGTGACGAAAGCGAGAAGAATTCGTTTGTGCTTACTCCKGGCGGAGGCATGCCGTCGGTGGTCTCCCTATGGAGCAATGGTGCGTTGATGTTKCATAGCTTGACCAATACCAAGAAGGAGGAGGATTCGACAAAGAAGGTGAAAAAGAAGGCTCTAGCGCTGCGCGAGATGTGGCGCTATGGTATATTTCCCGCAGACAAAGTCAACGACATGCAGGACATTTTGTGGGAAGAAATCAACGTCSTCCTTTTGGACGCTTACTCGAGCATGGAAGCYGGTGCCAACCACGGAATGGTCGTTGTCAGCGCATCCTACTACATGGACGGAAATCCAGAATCGCACCGCTCTACCATGACGGTTGCCATAGACGCCTTTAAAGGAACCGTCTTGTGGGAGTCGCACTCGGACATTGCTCTCGAACAGGAAGAAAAGCCGCTGCCGCTGCCATTGGCGACGCGGGGTCAAACATCCTTTGCTCGGCGCAGATCTTCCGTTGCTCGTTCGATGCAAGGGCTTCAAACGTATACCTCTTCTTCTGCCTTGCCAAACTGCATGTCGTTGCTGAAAAAAGCGGTCAAAAACGAGGTATTCCCCTATTCGTATTGGGGACCCGAGGATGCCGGCGTGGCGGCGATCCACCTCAACCGAAAGAAACACGCGAGAAACAAYGGAAACCAYCGCGCATCSAAGCCCCACGAAGATCACGGCATCGCACAGCACCACCACCACCACCACAAGAAGAAGAAAAAGTGGCACCACAAGTTCCATCCCCGAAAGAAATCCAATCACCACCATCATCACTATGGACCCATCCAGGGTAGGCCAAACGCACTGGTCACCCAGACACGCGGCGGGCTCCAGATTCGRTCGCTGAAAAACGGGAAAGCCTTGTGTCACTTGGCATTGCTGGAGGAAAACCTCTACTCGGACCTCAACAACGATGGTGTGCTAGACCAGGTCCAGGTTGCCCTGCATACGAAAACCCTCAAACCCGACGACAAGTTTGTTTGGAAGCTAGCTGGAAGACTACTGCAAAACCACGAGAAAATCAAGTCAGACGGTGCCGCTATGGAGGACGTGGTGGATTCCAAGCCCAAGCTGTGCCATGTTTTGGCTCTTTCTGGAATCCCTGCTCGTGAAGAGATCTTCTCGGCTCCCATTTGTGGAAAGCCCTCCGAGCGAGCCAAACTGGATCGAATCAAGGCCCTGGACGCCGTCAATCCACTCGTCGTTGAGTCGCTGGGCAGGGCGGGAGGCAAACACGATATCGTTGTAGCCGTGAACAACGGGATGGTCCATCGCATCCACGGATCCAAGGGCCAGCGCATGTGGGGTGTTTCCGGTGCGCACAAAACGGAAGACTTCCCCTTCTGGTACGAGAAAAACAACCACTTGGCGCTCCTTACCCGCCTCCAATCCAACCTGGTCGCACCACCCATCCGGCCTCTCCTCCTGGCGGGAGAAAACAGTTTGTCGGTGCTGTCCGTGAAAACGGGGAGTATCTTGGCAACCGCCCCGTTCCCACAAACCTCGGAAGCGAAACCCATTCTTGCGGATCTGAGCGGCGATGGATCCACGGACGTGATGGTTCTCACAAAGGATGGCATCTGGGGCTATCAGATTTTTGTCCACCGGGGATCTCCGGTAGCCCAGCGTATTCTTGTTGGCTTGCTCCTTATGATATTGATGATGGCTACGATAAGGAATCAATACATGAAGGGAAACAAACGAAGTACGGACCGATAAGAAATTGCCTCGATAATATAATTATGTGTTACTACACGAAAGAAGAAGCTAGGATTTAGGTCAGCTTTAGAGAGCATCTCCCATTTCAGTAACGTTTGCAAATAGTTTGATGCCCATTCCCCTCGTTGCGTAGTGTGCAACTACAAAAACGAATCGTGAAGCCGCTGGTTCGTGTGCCGGTTTTGGGCCACCCGAGCCGACAGCGACGCCGTTTCGTTAGAGCCGATTCCGTGGGCGGTCGTGGTGATGTCCTTCAGGAACGACGCACCCCTTCCGGAGGAAGCCGCTGCCTGCTCCCCGGCGTCCTCGCTGCGCCTGGATACCTTTTGCACCATTTGGTCCCCGCGYGTCCGGGCATTCGCCTGCATTTGCTGCAGAGCCGCTGCGCGCTCGGTTTCGGTCAGCCGTTTCCTGGACCTGCCGATCTGCTGGTTCCRGGTCCGCTGGTTCTGCTCCTCTTCTCTCTTTTTTCGTAGGAGTGCTCGRTCCGGACCAATGTCTCGGTTGCCAACCACCGGAGCGGGGGCTCCCTTCAGTCCGTATCCCTCCATCCGTTTGGGTCCATCTTCYCTTGGATCTGGATCCGATGGTCGTTTTCGAGTGCTGTTCCGACTCCTGTCGTCATCGTAATACCGCCTCTCGTTTCGCGAGTACCGGGTGTCGCCCATCCGGCTGTTGCCTCTGTGGGGCTTTCGTTCCCGCTCGTCGTCGTAGCGTCTTCGGTGTCTGTTCTCGCGACCGCGATTCGATCTGTCGCGGTCACGATCACGGTCGCGRTCACGRCTGCGATCCCCCCRTTCACGGCTCCTGTCACGACCACGATATCTGTCGCGATGACTATCGTAGCTTTCCTCACCCCGAGAATCATAGCCTCGATCGTAATTTCCACCGCGCCTATCACTGCGGTCGTAACTTCTGCTTCTACTCCTGCTCCTGCTTCGACTCAAACTAACGCTTCTGCTCCTGCTTCTGGTAGGACTCCGCGATCGCGAACGTCCCCGGTGTCGTCTGTGCCTGCGATGGCCCCTGCTCTCTTGGTCATCATCGTCGTAATCGTGCCTTCTGCGTTTTGAAGACTTTTTCTTTTTCTTCTTGTGCTTCTTTCGGTCCTTTTTGCTTCGCTTTTTGCCTCCGGCGGAATCACAGCCGTCCGAGCTTGCCCCGTCCTCGCCGTCCTCGACGGGCCCAACGACGCGCTGGTAGAGCTCCTTCGCCTTGTCGTGCTTCTCTCGTTTTTCGTGCTGCCGTTTACTGACTTGGTACATCGGATCCTCCACCCTCATACGAAAGCTTTCGTTGCGGTACTGGACGCTGTCGGGATCGGGACCAGCAGAGGCTTCGAAGGCGTTCCCCCTCGAGATAGCGGAAGAGTGGCCTTCCGCCTTTGCCGTGTCKGACGCTCCGAGCACGCTGTGGATCCCCTGCTTCTGGTCTCCATCGTCAAAGTCTCCCTGTACCGCCCCCTCCCCCACAAACTCTTTTCCGAGCAGGTATTCCTCGGCCTTTTTCRCGGCGTCCTCCTTCGCCAGCTCGCTGTTGTTTCCCCCTCCCTGCTCCTGGTACATCCAGTCGATCCCGCGGTCCAGCTTGGTCGAGTTTTTCCCGGCGATCCGGTGGAATTCCTCCGCCTCCCGTTCCTGCTGAATCTCGCGGGCCAGCTCCTTCGCCTTTGCCGTTTCTTGTTCTTTCTTCTGTTCCGCGAGCCATACTTTTTCCTGGTTGGCCTTGTTTTTCGTGTGCCAGCTCTTCTTGCTGAGAAAGCCCAAACCCTGCACCATTTTTGAGCTTGATTCGATTGATGTCTTGCAGTAAGAATGCCAAACTGGTAGGGTACCGTGGCTTGGATTTAAAACTTGCGATTGCTGTGGCACTCGCTCTCTATCAGTGGGATTACCGAATAGGTGGAACTCGKTGTCGAAATTTGAGGAGTAGGCGGTGGGTTTTCGATTTTCGATATTCAATGGTGAATAAAAATTTCGTTTGGATTRAAGACGGCCAAAACGACGTATCTGTGTAACTAGCGAATGCACTGAGTTGCGTACGTACGTATCTAKTACTACTAGTACTGGTAGAATAAATAGGGATTTATATGGGCCGTCTCGGTCGTGCCGGCTGGCATGTCACCTCCAGATGGATAGAGAAGCCTAGTAGCATAGATTTTCTATGCTTGCATAGTATGTACATTCATAGATTGACAGATACRCAAAGCAACGATTAGGTCAATATGTGAATACTAGTGCTATCTACTAGGACGACTAGTAGGGCTGAGTTGCTGTGTGCAAGTGCTGGGGCTTGCCCAGTGAGAAGAAGAAGGAGCAGCACTCCTTATGTAGGCAGTACCAGTAGGAGGAGGAGGAGTTTGTGCTACTACCAGTATAAGGATCTGTTGCATAGAGTCACGATGAGGAGTTCTTGTTGTTGCTGCTGTTACCTGCCTTGCTCCTGGCTGGTGGGATGGTGCTGGCATACTRTTTTTTCTTGTTGCTTTGGGGAGGATCCCAGCCGCATGATTGCCAACAACATCTAAAATCACGGCAGCAACAACAATTTTATGTGTTATAGAAGATTGGATTGTCTCACGACAGTTTTGCCGTCCTCCATTAGGAGTGCACCTGGTGATATGAGGGTCGGATCATACAGCTATGAGACAGTCGGTTGACCTCGAGTTATGCTGGGGTTGTTCCTGTAATGGGCATCCTTCCTTTCTTGCATCAACGAAGTGGTGACAGTACTTTGCCATGTTTAGTAGAGAGTTGAACATTAGGAAAGTTACCACTGTTACTTCTGGCAGTGCACTGCCTGTGTTACCGTAACTTTACACTATGTGGCCTGTTTTTCATACTATAGTATCCTTTTGACCGTATGGTGGTAAGAGTACGTACTAGTGGATTATTTGTGACTTCATTAAAATCCCAAGGCAGATTCAACCTAACAGAAAGGATTCTTCACGCTATTTTTCTGGTGCGATGGAATGCAATATGTMCGATGTCAAGTCCTTAGCTACAAAATAATTTCCGTATCAATGCCCTTGCGCCGAACCAAGTATTTCAAATTCAAGAAAATTAAGAACCCGGACCACAGCCTACCGAAAATCTTGTATCTTCACCTGTCGTCGGGTTTTCTCCCTTCAAAGTTGGGTTTTTGCAAAGATTCTTTAGGTCAAAGTTACCGATCGCAGCTTCCGTGAAATCCGCATTCTCAACGTCAGCTCCCTCGAAACTATTRAAAGAGTGAGAGCCACAGTAATCAGTTAGGAGAAGAAAATCAAAGAACGAGAACYACAARACACAAWATGGATTGTAGATCCAAACAAMTATAYTTTCGTTCTTCGTTACTCTWGCAACGACGCACCTGGTTCCCGTCAACACAGTGTTCTTGAAAATAGCTCCTCTGAGAGAACTACCTTTGAAGCTCGCTCGGTCGACGATGGCATTCGAAAAATCGGCGCCCTCGAAGTTGGAGTCTGTGCAAAGAGAAAGTGCAACGATGTGAGCAAAAGATCAGTCGCACGTGATAAAAACACAAGTCAAATGCGCTTTTGATTGTCGTTTTGATACACCCGGTTCCTTTCGTCGTCGTACCTCKCAAATACCCCTTGCTGAAAACAGCATCCTGGAAATTGACCTTGGATACGTCTGTCTCTGTCATGATAACACCACTCAAATCGAAACCGACAGCCGACTCTCCGCTCAGCTTGCACTGGCGAAGATCGTAAAGCTTATCGCGGGCGGCGTTGGCCTGGCCAATCGATGAGCTTTTCAGGGTGCAGCGAGTCTTGTCCGTCAGATCCACGGGKGGAAGCTTGAATTTTTCGGTTTGACCGTCCGCAAATGCCGGCAGAGGACCCGCCGACAACAACGACAACGAAAAGATAGACGCCAGAGCAACATTGGCAAAAGTTGTTGCGTTCTCGGATTCCCTGTCGTGATTTTTGGTGGCCTGTAGCGAGAGAGTCGGCGTTCTCTCGATGTTTCGTGAAACGAAGGCTTCTGTCGTCGCCGTAGCGACAGCTAGCACGAGGAAAGCTGAGAGTTTCATTATTTCTTGATATTGAATTCGCGTCGTTTTGTGATACGATACAAGGTCTTTTGAGATGGGACTATTATKATACTACTCGTAGTCTTCTACTAATGTGATGATAATCATCGATGATGTGTTCTTTTTGATCACGACGTGATTGAGATTCGAAGATTGCCATCGTCATACCGGTACACAGTATTGGAATACGCGTACTGCTAACTTACCATTAGACGTAGAGGTACCGTACTACTGTACTATGCACGATTTTTCATCATTTCGATTACGGTTCGTAGTAAAGCTGATTTTGATTCAATGACGCAGGTTGCGTGATCTGACGGCAGGACTAAATGAGTCTCGAAATCTCGAAACAGATTTTGTTTTTAGGCGCGCAATATTCGCGGCAGCCAGGTCAAACCGTTGAAATTTTAAGGTAAGATCCGTCGTCAARACGAAACAACATACTTCTAAACAATCACATCCTTTGTACCGCATACCGGTACAACTACCGGTACCGTAATTGACAGAGCTTCGAATGCATCTCAAAACTCATCAGGAAACAGAAATGAGACTTCGAGCCATTTCGTCAAGCATTTCACTCTATCATAGAACGACTCTAGAAACCGTCGATTGTTTTGTCTTAAAATGAAGCGTCAAAGGGCTGCTTCAGAATCCTCTTCCAAAGATCATCTTCGATGTCAAACGGGCAACGATTGGTACGACGAAATCTTACGCCAAGAGAACGACGGAGATTCCATTCGCAATTCCTGGCTGAAAGATAGAAGCTTTCTTCATGTGCATAAACGTGACAGTTTTGTGGGGAAAACTGTACATAGYCATCCGCAATCGGACGAGCTAAGGTCTCTCGGCCAACAGCTTATACAGGTTAAACGAAGACTCTGGCCTGCTGCAGAGAAATGTGCATTAGCTTGTGGTTCCACACCAAGCGAAGAATTCTGGAGAGCTCGAGCGTATGCCAATCCGATGGAAGCTCTTGGAGAATGCCGTCACCGTGGTCTSAATCAAATGTTCATTAATCGGTCTGCCATAAAACTCGCAAACATCGATGCAATTCTTGACTTTGTGCTCACAAGGATACATTCTTCAGGGACCCTCAGCGACGGGTTCGGAGGTAGGAATGCATTTTTATTTGCAGATCTCTGTGGTGCACCGGGTGGCTTTAGTGAATACATCRTGAAACGAATACGTGCAAACGGGATTGGTTGTACTTGTAGAGGCTACGGAATGTCGCTGGTTGGAAACAACGAACATGGSAAAGGAGCAACGTGGCGRCTTGAAGATTTTTCCCAGGATGACAACAYAGTATCTATWAATTACAAAATCCATTATGGCAAYGACGGCACAGGAGATATATACAAATGGGAAAATGTAAAAGCATTTAAGAGGGACATTGGTGTAGATCTGCACGCGGCTGGGATTTCCCAACAGAGAATGAATCTGGTGGTTGCGGATGGCGGATTCGACGCACAGAGAGATTCCGAATGCCAGGAAGGACTGGCGCAAAAAATAGTCCTCTGCGAATTTGCCACGGCACTTGAGCTMTTGGATGTAGGCGGTTCTCTTRTTGTGAAATTATTTGGATTTCAAACAGATTCCATTCGTATGGCGATGCGATCTCTTAGCGACGATTTTTTCRACTCACTAGAAATCACCAAACCAATCAGCTCGCGACCGGCCTCTTCAGAGCGATACGTGATTTTTTCTGGATTCAAAGGACTACCCGAGAGTTGGGAGGGGGGCGAATCTTGGATCAGCAACGTATTGATTGGAAGATGTCTACGACAAGATATTTCCTTTTATTCTRRTACTGTGGATGCCCWTCTCGATCGATTCGATCGGGATATGCTGATGTTAAATTTGAAAGCTTGCTTCGCCATCCTTAGYCGCCTAGAAAGAAARACTTCTGCGGTAGAGATGAATCGCAGATATGAGAATGGGCGAAAGGATGTCAACATCAAAATGTACAAGCACACCTGGCAACTTTTTATTTAGTCAACACTACGTAGCAACTCTATATGAGGAAAAAAAACTTCTGCAAATTTTTGCTTCCTTATTGCTCTATTACCTCCTACCATTTAACGAAGTACTGAAGTATCTACTATCAAGTAGATATCTTTGTCTTCGACGCTGACATGTCGGTAGACAGTTTGACGAAAAAAGTTTTTCGTATCGTTCTGTGCGAAAATTTTATTTTAAAAATTACTACGTATTGAACATGATGAAATCCGTGTAGAAAAGTTGCAGAAAATTCGAAAAAATCMAATTCGGTATTTTCGTTAAAAACATTGGGGGGACAAAATTGTTTCAGATAGAAAAGTTTTGTTGTCCATCACCCCCAAATAAGAACGAAAAAACAAATCTTTGAAGGCGAGGTTCAACAATCCRCTCTGTGTCGATAACACAGAAACATCCTACATCGACATTACGCGTTGTCTCGTTTGAAGTGTTCTCCTTGCCTCCACCCCGGTACAATTTACTAAGCAATTCCATCACCATGAAGTCCTTCAACGTCGCCCTTTCTGCGCTCATGGCCTCTTCGGCCATGGCCTTCGCTCCCAGCTCGAGCACCCAGAGCTCCACTGCTCTTAACGCTGAGATGCCCGACCGCATGTGGGACAAGATGGTTGACCCCACGGAACGATCGGCCTCCCTCCCTTGGTTGCCTCGCCCTATCAACCTTGATGGTTCCATGGCCGGAGACGTCGGTTTCGATCCGTTCTACTTGTCTTCCATCCCTAAGAATTTCGCTGGATTTATCCAACCTCCATCGTGGGAAGAAACGGAAGGAATCCCTACCCTCTACTGGATGCGTGAAGCCGAACTCAAGCACGGACGCGTTGCCATGCTTGCGTGGTTCGGATGGGTCGCCACCGATGGTGGCTTCGGCGTCACCCTTCGTTTCCCTGGGGACATTTACTCCGTAGAAAACATCCCCAATGCCTACAACGCCCACAATATCCTCGTCGACCAAGGTTCCATGGCCTTTTTGTTGTTTGCCGTTGCTTTCGTCGAGTTCTGTACCGGAGCCGCTCTCGTTCAGGTTTCAAAGGGAGAACTTGAACGCGAAGCCGGTGACTTCAGCCTTGACCCTCTTCAATTCTTGAAGGGAAAATCTGACGATGAAGTCATGAAGATGAAGACCCGAGAATTGTTGAACGGACGTCTTGCTATGCTTGCCTTCAGTGCTGTCGCAACCCAAACTGCCCTTGGACCTGAGACACAGGGCTTCCCATACTTCTAAAGCGATTTCATGACTTCATTGAATGCAGATCGATAGGCAATTGCTCGTCCGATTGAACCAAGTCAGATGACCAACCAAATCTCACAGCGTCAGGCATTCATCCGATATCGCAGATCATACCAGTGCAATGCAGAATGTCATCTATTTATGATCATTCAGCATGACGCTCATGCTTTTTGGGCTTCTAGTTCTACTTGACCATATTATTATAGATCCCATCATTTTTTGCAGTATACATATACGGAAGGTCATCGTTGTCTTGAGGGTATCATGTTGGAATTGTTTTGCGGATGGTATATTGAATTTTCTTGTGCTGCTCACCATCAAAGAATCATGTGACAATAAGTTTGCCAGTAGTAGTACTAAAACCAGGCCGAACAGGGTACCAGCGGCAGCATTAGACTTTCTATGTGCCAAACAAGAAAGGAGATACTACTAGTAGTAGCTAGCACTAGTAGTGATGAGCACCATCCATACTACTGCAAAATGTTGATAGGCTCCTTAGTAGTGTACAATAATACATGGTTTACAAAAAAGAGTGAGGTTATTCACTAGCTACTCTTGATTGTGTTTTATCCTCACAACTACAACTAATAGCAAGAAGAACAAATGAAAAATGAATTACATTGTTCGTAAGTAGTACTTCCTCTATTTCACTATATGTGTCATTGTGTCAAATATGTGTCATTGGTATTGGGCCTAAATTATGACATAAAAATAAGCACAGTGGGCATGTTTGTACCACCATGTGCTGCAGTTGCCCAAGCAGTTTTTGCTCTCTCTAGAGACCCACAATAACTGCATAAGAACATTCTGAATAAGTGTTATAAGAATATCATGATAAAGCTCTCAGTCTTGGCTTTATAAAGCTGTTGACCGTGTATTTAAATGACTGGTGGTGGAACCCCTTCAACTGGTAAAACAAAAATCATATGCTAAAATGGGGCCTCTTTGAATAGCTGTACCTCTTTTTCAATGCTTTAAAACTCAACATGATCAAGACAACATTATACTTCTATTAAAGATCTGTAAAATGCAAAAAGAAGCATTCCAATTGCCCAAATAATGAGGAGCTTATTCCAGTCGTAAAGGTCCTTGTTGGACACATATAGTGAAACAGAGGAAGTAATACTAGCTAGTACTAGTAGTAGAACAATTACTGCTACTAGGTAGTTTTACAAATGGGACTCCTTCTTCCTTTGCCACTACTAGTAGTAGTAATACTATAATAAGCACTACTACTAGTAGTAGTTTATGGAGTCTGCTCAATGTGCCACAAATACTAGAACCTACTACCAGCAGCTATGATGTGGCAATTCCTTCAGTATTGCACCAAGAAGTAGTTTTACTACTAGTAGTTGTTGCTGTACCACCAAAAGATACCCATAGGCATCCTCATACTTCAATACTACTTGTAAGAGTAACAGACTAGTTACTCAGTTTATGCCAAGTAATTGCACGCTAGTAGATTTCTGTGGGTTACCAAAAAAATCAAGTTATCAGTTGCTACTAGTAAGAAACACATGATATATTATTTGCCTTCTCCTTGCACCTCAACAGGCTGCTTTGTTACTTGACAAAATTAGTAATCACAATGCTGGTAATTAGGAGGAGAGCAGCCCTAGAAAACCTACGACAGATGTTGGTATCAAACACCATGGTAATCAAAAAAATTTAGTACTCTGCGTCGTATTTCTTTTTAGACCAATTGCCTGCTGTACCTAGTATGGGCGGAGTAACTAAAATCAATTGCAATAAACAGCAACAGCAACTGGAACCATGTCAATTTCAATTTTGGGGGAACTCAGATTCCCAGGCCCTCCCTCCTGGTATGGAAAATTGTGATCACCAGATTTGATCACAAAAAAATGTGATCAGAAATGACAAATATGTGATCCAATTTTTGTGATCAATCTTGATCACAAATTTTGACCAGTTTTGCTATGAGTCCCGTCAATATATTAGATCATAATATATGAACAATATAAATAATAGTATTTACACACGCTAGCAGTAGCTACTACTAGTACTTCTAAAACAAAACCCATCAGTCCTGTACATAGTACTACTACTATACCTTCCTAATGAGGATGCCCAAGCATGCTGCGCTTCTAGTACTGGTGCTATGAAAAATTATTCATTTATGAATATTATATTTATGAATTGTAATCCCACATGCAATATATAAAACATACATATATATCATTAATTAAAGGCATGTGTAATATTATTCCATTGAAAAAATGTGATCAAGAAATCCAAAGATTTTGTGATCATTTCTGATCACAATTTTTGTGATCAGTTCTGATCACATCATTGAAAAATGGGTGTTTGCAGTCGTTTGGTAATTCATTTTTTCTTAAAAATAATGAAGTTGATATGTTTCCTGATTACCAGATGATTAATTGTACTGGTACTACTCCTACGCATAAATTAACAATTGAAACTATGTTAACTGAGGCATTGGGAATGTTAATTTAACATTCCAAATGTTAGCACCAGTGTAGGCTGTGTAGACATGAGGAGTACTGCAGTTTTTGCTTCAATTTAACGTCCTGAGGAGGACAAATACTTGTCTGCTTAGTAAGAACAGTCTGAAAGTTAGCAGTGGAGGCGTCCTCTTCTTCTTCCTCTTTTTTAGATCCCCCCCTTCTTTCTTTTTTAGGCATGTGCAAGACTGAATGAAGAATGTGGATAATACTATGATCTATGTAGGGCTATGCTATAAATTTAACATTCTGTGCGATAAATTCTTAACATCTGTAATGTTAAATTAAGGTTCCCAATGCCTCAATTACTAGTCCTAACGTAATTCAATTGTTATTTTATGCGCCACTACTAGTTACTCCACGATTGGTTGCGTGCAGCCGCCACCTTGGGTTTTTTTTTAAGGATGGCGGCGGCCAAAAAAACTTACTACTGCTAGTAGAATGACGGCTTGTTGTCACAATAATCATGACTGAATGTTTAAGTTAAACAAAATGAAATAATTTATTTTGGTAAAGGTACTAATTTATTTGCAAAAATTAATATACTGGGTTTTGTACAAATCTACACTAAAAAAATCTCTTATTGTTTCCTTGGTAAGTCCAGGGCTGTAAGAATTCTTCGAAGTTAGTGGCTACGCCCACTAAAGATAGAGATAGTGAAGTGCAGTGCTACGTTAGACATTCCGTACGTAGCACGAATACCGTACATACCGGTTACGGGTACATACCGAACGTAATTACTTCTACTACGTAGTAATTTCTTCATTAGAGTTAGAGTTATAGTTGTACTAATTTTATCTTCCCGAACACAGCACACATTGAAGTTGATTGAATGAGGATCGCGAGTCGACGGAGGGACCTCAACCGTAACGATACGGKTCGCGTCCGGAGCGTTACGTTCCCACGTATGTATTCGTCGACCAGAAACGAGGAAAWAGAAGAGGAAAACTCGAGCAGAAGCAGCAACAGGACTCTCTGGTGACATCCTCCCCGATCATACACATTTTCCATATCTAAGTACAGTGCAACAGTAAATAATACAATGAAGACCTTCCAAATTGTTACCCTTTTCGCTCTTGTAGCTGCCTCCATGGCTTTCTCCCCTAACTCGGTCAACCAAGGTACGTACATCGTAGGTTGCGTCACCTCCAGAGTGAATGAGTAATCATTGGTTCGGTATGATGGAAATCATTGTGCACGACCACGCTAGGATGAAGTATCTGTTGGATGGCCCGCTAATGGCT